CCCACGAGGAAAACTTACAAACTCCAAATATACAGGTGTCAGGGTTAGGATCAAACTCACGACCTCCTGTGTACTAGGCGACGTAGTTAACATCTCACCACCGTGGTCACGTTGGTAGCACATTGCACACCACTTTGCTCTTGATAGAGGTTGTAGATGTTGTCATGTGATGAGATGTATCGCGTCGGAGCACCCACATGTACAGCTTACTTGATACACGTTCACTAAAGAAGATAATATATCTGTTGGAGGAACACAACTTTATGCCTAAGGCGGTTAATGAAGGCAGATAAGGATGTAAATTATAACATTAAAATAAGATGAGTGCAGGTTGCAGTGATTCTGGTTGGAGTCAAGATATACAAGTTCAATTCTCAATAAGACTTTGACTCAGCCTATCATTCCTCCATGGTTGATCAAATAGGTCACACGTTGCGGAAAGTCACAATTGGTTGTATTACGGAGAGGCCGGCATATGCCACGGGAATGTGTAATTGCCACTGCCGGCAGAAGTCCTCAATTGGAGATAAACTCTGGCCCATTGCTGATTATGTTTATTTATTTAACAAGACTCCGGTACAAAGCACAGATCATGACAAGGGGAAGGGGCACAGAAACTCTGCGGACAAAATCTCGAACTCAGTGCTCCTGGGTTGTGGGTATATGAGAAAATTGTGCTCACTTGCCCCGCCCAGGAAAGAATCATGAGCTGGAGCGTAGGTTTTTATATGGGGGGGGGGAGGAGATAAGGGAAGATGAACATAAGTAAAGGGATAGAAGGGGCGTGGGAGGGACCTCATTACTGATTTTAGCAGAGGGGTACTTTGACTTGGCTGTCACCTACCAAACGCACAACAGTAGCTACATTGTATTGAGGTGTATATTGAAAAATTTTGAACGAAAAAAAATAACAATGTAAACTTTTTATGAAAAAATACCAAAGCATCCAAATTGACCTTTTATTTTTTACAATTTTTGGAGGAATTTTTTGGGGGTTGTTGGTTCTTGTTGCTGTTGTTGTTATGATTAAGGGCATCGTTATCAGCTGTGTTTTATAAAGGGGGGTGATGTAGTGACTCATATGGAGTCACTAAGGTGTTTAGCGTCAGCTACTGTCACAAGAGTGGAAATGTACGTCTTGAGTCTCTCTCTGGCACCAGAGTGGATATGGCATGAAAGCGAGCCCTAGGGGGAAGAGTTCTGGTGAGGGTCGGAGAGCAAGCAAGTGAGGAGGTGATACTCTGTGTGAACCCGAGAGGGCACGTGGCCGGGGCAGGGTAGCCAGGGGGCCCAAAAGGGGGCTCGAGGGACACGTGATATGGGCTAGAGCATTCTAGTAGGATCTAGAAGAGAGCGTGGCCGAGGGCAGAGCTAGGCCACGTTCAGGATCAAAAAGAGGCTGTCCCCGCTGCAGGGTTTGGTAGAACATGTTGTTTATGTCGTTTATTGTGAAAATTCGGTCACAGTTCCTATGATCACTATTTTATTGCTTTTATGGCTTTATTTTGGTGATTTCGAAAACGTTTTTTTGTTTGTCCATGTTTGTTTGTTGTAGTACGGAGTTAGACTGATGGCCTTAATCTAAGTGGTCCTGTGGTTGTTGTTTGACTTGCATCCCACTGGGATTTTTGCACACAGCGTTGGTGTATGGTGCTTTTTCTGCAATATTTTGCTGTCTTTTCTTAGATTTTCTGTTTGCACATAGTAACATAGTCACTTTAAGATGTTTTCTTGTTCATGTGTTTTGTTTGTTGCGGTTGCACCCGATTCAAGAGCCGAATGGCTCACAGGGCTATACCTAATAAATGAACGTGAACTGTTGGAATGGAACCCGTCGGTGCTACGTCTCTTCGATCCTCGGTCTTCGGTCTTCAATGTCACGCTCGGCATCGTGGGTCAGGCAGTGTGTTACTGACTGACTGGGTTATGTAGTTACTCCGTTGTGGTCTAGTTAACCTGTGCAGTTATCAACAAGATGTAGAACCAGTGTACATTTATGTAGTTAGGCCTGTTGGGTCGTTAAATAAACGTTTTGCCTCCAACTCCAGTGTGTGCCTCCGTATAACACACTACACAATGACAGGACGTGAATACAAAGCTTATTGAGTGGCAGAAATCTGATAATTATATAATATGCATTCATTGAATTGGGGAATGATGAATGCCGGTTGTAAAAAATGGAAGACTATAACAAAACATGGGATGGAGTTGCTATAAGAACAGCAATTGTTATTTGTGCTCGTGTACTCCTGCTAACGCTATCACAATATTTGTTTCATGAAATCTGAATGAATTATAACAAGCAACCTTGTGTTTCATATGTAGAGTGAATTATTCAGAGGGAGACGTTCGCATTTTATAAGACAGCATTGCCAAATGAATGTGTGTATGTAAGTTTAGTTATTGTTCTACTGAATCAACAGATGCTTTTTTTAGATTGACACATGGATTGGAACATCAACCAAGGATGTAAACCATGTGGACCTGATGGAAGATATGCAGATATTATGCATTGGTAGTTTATCTCCTCTCTCACCATCTATATGAAATGAAAGCTCTTTCTTTATTACATATTACGTTTATGCAAACAGAGAAATGTGTAAACTCTGAATGTGTTTTGCTGGCTTTCAGTATCCAACCTATGTCTGTTTTTGACAGTTTCCACATTTGTCAATGTATCAAATCTCTGTTTTTTTAACCTGTCCTTTTCATTATGTCTGTCTCCATCTAATATTGTATAATCTATCCATAATAGAGTTTTTTTGGGTTATATCGCGTAAATATATAAATGTTTTGTTAAATACCCACAACTGGGCGAAACAGCCAACTAGTAAGGGTTGTCACGTAAACAGAACATGCCAATTCGTCACTAGTACAGCACACCGGTGTGTTGGAGAGCCAAGCCACAACATTTACAATCTGAGTGCGACGTTTCACCAATAATTACAAATAGCTTCATCAGGCGACAAGCCAGATTTGTGGTGAAGTCTAACTGTTTCGTTCCTTATATAGAGGCATAGATGTGGTGACCACACGTCTGCACTCTTGTGCAAAGGGGGGGGGGCGTTTACTGAGTCAACCTACATTATGCATGTGAATTATGCGAATCCTTTGATCTTTTACTTCCTGTCTATTGTGTGTCTTAAAATAGCCGTACCAACGGTAATCCCTATTGCAGTATGCTGCCCTTTATAGGCATGCATTTAAATAATGTATTATTTGATGATTTGCTTCCACGCATCACTAAGGCGGTAGCTATCCGAACGGTTAAAATTATTTTTATTTCTTTCAATTTCGATAGATTATCTAATTAGTCTTTGCCAGTAGTAGCTAGTTTTGCATAGAACTTTAATATTATCAAAATCAATTGAGTGCCCTTGTTGGTGCGCGTGTAATGCTGCTGCTGACAGTTGTTTTTATGAGAATTTAACATTTCTCTGATGATCTTTTAGTCTCGTGCCGATCATTCGTCCTTTTTGCCCAACATAACATTTCCCACACAGGCAGTTAATCCTGTACACACCTTCTGTTGATAGCTTTGGTAATACATCTTTTGTACCAGATATTAATTTCCGTATTTTTTGTACCGTGCCAAATCTGACCCAGATGTTTTGTTTTTCCACACATCTGGCGAGTTTATCAGTTACTCCCGCAATGTACGGTATTTTGATAGTTTTAACTACTTGGGCAGTTTCAATTCTCATGTTATTTGATTTGGTTTTGGAATTGAATGCCCTGTTGATTTCTGCATCATTTTAACCGTTCATTTGCAGCGCTACTTTAACATGTTGAATTTCACTTCTCAGACTGTCTCCATCTGATACTTTCTTAGCTCGATGAATGAGCGTCTTGATAAGAGCAGATTTCTGTGCGGTGTGATGGTGTGACTCTACATTCAGATAGGCGTCAGTGTGCGTTTTCTTTCGGTAAACACCGTGTGTTATTTTATCATTTCTATCCCGTCCGAGCAAAATATCCAGAAATGGTAGAGTTCTGTCAGCTTACACTTCCATGTTGAACTGGATGGAATGGGTTTTGCGAGTTGACATGATTTAGAAATATGTTCAGTGTATCTTTTCCGTGTGGCCAGACCACCAATGTGTCATCCACATATCTAAACCAATCAGATGTTTTAGTTTGCTTGAAGTTATTTCTTTTATTTGAAAGTCTTCCATGTACAAATTCGCTATCACAGGAGACAAAGGAGAGCCCGTTACTGGTCCTTCCTTTTGTTTATAGAAGTCACCTTGCCACACGAAGTAGGTGTTCTGTAGAAAGTGTTCAGATAGTCTTGGGATATCTTTGGATAAACCTTTGTTTGTTACCAGAGTGTTGAGTAATTTAATTGACTCATTGACTGAAACCCTCGTGAACAGAGAAGTCATAAGACTAATTAGAGAATCTATCGAAATTGAAAGAAGTAAAAATACCGCATTTCCCGCATATAGCCCGCATATGCATATAACCCGCAGACGCATATACCGCGCAAAAATTGTGTTTTGTGTAAATTTCAGATAGCCCACACCTCCATATACCCTGCATGCATTCATATCTTTAACGTCGTTACCGCAGCTTAATTCCCTGATATTAATACGAAGTTTACATTTTTAATACATTCCACTATCAATTGTTAACATTAAAATCATAACGTGCACAAAGAAAAAAAACTAACCGGAAACGAGTGAACTTAAACAGTAAATAAGTAACAAAAGTAAATATCCAATAAATAAGTAACACATAACTGGTAGACAAGTAAGTACAGTTTTAGCACTGGTAAATTGCGCACTGTGCAGACAATAGCGGCACTACAGTAACGCCATTGCCTCGCCCCCCCCACCTCTCTCTCCCCCCAGCTTTATTGTCGCCGGTAAACAAAGTGCGCCCACTTCAAACTGCAGTATAACCCACGCTCAGAAAAATTAACTACATCTGCATGTACAGCATCACAGCATTGCAGGCACTATTTCCCTGGCTGGCGAAGAGGTGTTCGGAATGCTTACCGAGAGGCACGCGGGCAGCGCTGGCGTCGGGGTTGATCCAGAAGGAGAGCCACGAGAGCACCACAATCAGCAGGGTCGGGGCGTAGACCCCCATCAGGTAGAAGCCGACCTGTCGCCGCAGTGTAAAGATCACTTCCACGCAGGTGTAGTACCCTGCAGCGAGACAACACACATTCCACACCACCGTCGGGCTTGGGGTGAACAACTTTTACAGGATTCCTACGATGATGTATTTTTCAGAAAGGACTCACATGGGTGCTGTGATTAACGAGGTTTGCAAACAGGTACATCGCATTTCGTATTTTCAGCATCGATTAAAATAATTTTGAACAGATAGTTTGATAATTGAAATAATAATATTGTTCTAAAATGAAACTCATTGAACACCATGGCGAGTTGATCGGTAGGTCGCATGTGGTGTGATAAAGCATAAATGGAGGGATCTGGTCTGGAGATTAATTTTGTGATCTGGAAGCAGCATCAGGATATTTATAGTGACGCATTAAACTCGGCAAGGTCCGCATTCATCTCTACGGTCATTAAGGACAGCTATAGAAACCCAAGAACACCTTTTCTTTCTACAACTGATCAATGTTAAAATCAAATTCTAAACCAATCTTAACCGGTTACATTGTCCATTGCAATACGTTTCTTCCATAATAGAGTTTTTTGGGTTATATCGTGGAAAAATATAAATGTGTCATTAAAACCTGCCACCACCCGACACAGCCAACTAGCAAGGATTGTCACGTAAACAGAGCATGCCAATTCGTCACTAGTACAGAAAACTGGTGTGTTGGAGAGCCAAGCCACAACATTTACAATCTGAGTACGACGTTTCGCCAGTAATTACAACTAGCTTCATTCAGCAAACATGACTTGCCCCTCCACTCCTGAGTCACATTCAGATGTTTTTATTCTTGTATTCCTTTGACTATTCTTGATTGGAAGCTTTCGTGACTGCAGGAATCCATACTCTTTGGTTCTTTCGGTAAAGTCACGTAGTGTATAAAATAAAATAAATCACGACGTTTCGGGCGCAACACAAGCGTCCGTCATCAGGTGGGAAAGCATGGTCTACTGCTGAGGCAGACTGTTTTAAAAGGTTTGAAATGTGTGTAGCCCAAGGGTCATGAAGAAGTGGCCGGGGCTAGTGATGTTATTGTGAGAAATTAGTATGTAACTGTAATATAGGAGAGCGGCCTCCTCAACGAGGGTACGGAAGTGGCTATGTTAATGTGAGAGATTAGCATGATGTTAATGTGAGAAATTAGCATGTAACTGTAAGATAGGAGAGCGGCCTCCTCGACGTGGGAGTGCAACCCAACGGGTGCAATCCAAAAGACATGTGAGTATGAGAGTGCAATCCAAAGGCATGATAGTGAAATGCAACGTACATGTGAGAATGAGAGATCTAAGAGAGAGGTATAGAGAAAGAGAGACACAGAGAGTCGGAAATAATAGCTGACATAGGCAGGTAGGATGGAAACATCAGTCAGTTAATACTTTACCTGGGTAATAACGTCCTTCCAAAGATTGCTCAGTTTGTACCCATGCTCTCGGTTGAAGTTGTGTCTGTTTATATATTTGGATGGCTTCATGAACAAATCTCTGAAGGTAGCCGGTAGGTTTGCAGAGTACCTCCGTCTTGGAAAAATCAATTTCGTGTGAGCCCATAGCGTTAAAACAATGATCGGCAACAGCAGAGGTATTGGTCCTACCGTGTTTCAGATCTGCCTTGTGTTGGTTTCCCCAATGTTACTGCTGCCGCAACCACAACTAAGTTTGTAGACACCAGGGTATTGCATGTCAGGAATCAGATCCTTTACAGATGTACATTCTACAAACAAAATGAGGGTACCCCTATGGGTTCTCCCTTATCTCGAGTGGTAGCAAATGTTTTCATGGAGAAATTTGAGACAGATGCCATCCAGACATCCACCATACGTCCTTCCCTGTGGAAGAGATACGTGGATGACACATTCGTCATCTGGCCACATGGACTGCCATCACTGAACCAATTTTTTAAGCACATCAATTCCATACACCCGTCTATCAAATTCACCATTGAAGTGGAAAAGGATGGAAAGCGACCATTCCTGGATGGTTTGATCGAGAAGAGGCCTGATGGCTCGTTGGGACCTTCGGTCTACAGTAAAGCCACCCACATGGATGCTAATCTAAAGCCTGACTCTCACCACCATCCAGCCCAGAAGAATTCCCTCATGAAAACACTACACCATAGGGCACGTTGCATATCCGACCAGCACCACCTAACCAGTGAGTTGGAGCGCATACACCAAGCCCTCAGGATGAATAGATACTTGGACCGTACAATCCGAAAAGCTGTCTCCCCAGCCATGCGAAGACAACCTTCTGAGGATCCAACCAAAATCATCACTTTACTGTACATAGCAGGGGTTACCAAAGAGAGTTCCAAAATCTCAAACAACACAAGGTTCGTTTTAACAGTTCACAAAATCCGTGATTTAATCCCATCTGTAAAGGATGTGATTACTGACATGCAATACCCTGGTGTCTACAAACTGAGTTGTGGTTGCGGCAGCAGTTACATTGGGGAAAAGAAACGATATGTCTCGGACCTTGTTTTTGAACACAAGGCAGATCTGAAACATGGTAGGATCAATACCTCCGCCATGGCTGATCATTGTTTTAATGCGGTGGGCTCACACGAAATTGATTTCTCTAAGACACAGGTGCATTGCAAGCCCACTGGCTATCAACAAAGATTCGTTCATGAAGCCATCTATATATAGACACAGACACAATTTCCAACGAAAAGATGGTTACAAAATGAGCAATGATTGGAAGGACGTTATTAACCAGTTTAAGTCAAAATTGGCTGTGATGTTTCCATCCTACCTGCCGATATTAGTAGTCATTTTCGACTCTCTGGTTTTGCATTAACAGGTTAACTGTCTTTACATTAACAGGTTAAATGTCTCACTAACACAGCCACCGTTGCTCGTTTTCCTCGATGTGGCGGTCGCTCTGCGATCTTACATTGACATGCTAATCTCTCACAATATAATGGCAACCTCCGCAGCTGCGTCGTCGTGGAGGTAGCTCTCCGATCTTACATTTACCGTACATGCAAATTTATCACTCTAACATCACTAGCCCTGCCCACTTCGCTTATGACCCTTGGGCTACACCCATTTCAAACATTTAAAACATCCTGCCTCAGCAGCTTTCTCGCAATTTTTTCTCCTGATGACGATTGCTTGTGTTGCGATCAAAACGTCGTAGTTTTTTTTTGTTATTTTCTTTGAACTTATCTTCGTGACTTTACCGAAAGACCCAAGAATATGAATTCCTGCAGTCATGAAAGCTTTAAGTCAAGATTTAACCGCCTCTATGGGGAGGGTTTCCATACAACTATTATATATTTTTACAAACTTCGAGACAAGAAGGCTCATCTGATCGAGTCGCTCACATTTCTGAAGAGATGCCGTGACACTAAGGGAATACTGATCGTCTTTACACTGACATCTGCTGCTGTCACTTCTGCCAATGTGTGCTGCCATTGCCGATCATTGTTTTAACGCTGTGGGCTAACGCGAAATAGATTTTTCCAAGACGGAGGTACTCTGCAAACCTACCGGCTACCTTCAGAGATTTGTTCAAGAAGCCATCCAGATATATAAAAACTTTAACCGAGAGGATGGGTACAAACTGACAAATGTTTGGAAGGACGTTATTAACCAGGTAATAGTTTAACTGACTGTGATGTTTCCATCCTACCTGCCTATGTCAGCTATTATATCCAACTCTCTGTGTCTCTCTCTATGCCTCTCTCTTAGATCTCTCATGCTAACATGCTTTTTGCATTGCATTTTCATGCCTTTGGATTGCACTCTCATGCTCACATGTCCTTTGGATTGCACTGTCATACTCACAGGCCCTTTGGATTGCACTAGTTGGGTTGCACTCCCTCGTCGAGAAGGTCGCTCTCCTATCTTATAGTTATATGCTAATTTCTCACATTAACATCACTAGCCCCGGCCACTTCTTCATGACCCTACACTCATTTCAAACGTTTTAAAACAGTCTGCCTCAGCAGCTGACCATGCTTTCCCACCTGATGACGGACACTTGTGTTGCGCCCGAAACGTCGTGATTAATTTTATTTTATACCTACGTGACTTTACCGAAAGAACCAAAGAGGATGGATTCCTTTGACTATGTTCACCGTGCCGCCCCCATCACGCTTCTCTGACCTGCTTCCAAAGTGAAGCTAACAACTTTTTTCCGAGATCCTGTTCCAACTTCTCTGGTTGTATTACTCGTTCATGTAATTTGTCCCCCTGTCGTATCTATAATGACTGCATTAGCACTGGTGTGGTGCCCAATGCTTTTAAAATTGACCATCGTTATTCCATTACGTCTGAAAACAAAACTGAACCCTGAAAGTTGAGCAAATTATAGACTAATGTCGAACATATCATCGTTGCCCAAAAGTTTTGAGCATGGTGTTGCTCAGCAGATAAAATAGCATATTTCAGAATTTAAATTGTTTGAGCCATTTCAGTCGGGATTTAGAACAATGCATTGTACAGAAAAGCCATTTGTCAAGTGTGTCAATTATAATGTATTCATGATTGCCGAATATGGTGCCCTAGCCATCTTGGATCTTCGTGCTGCTTTCGATACTGTTGATCGTTTTACTTTGCGAAATTATCTTGAGACTTATGTAGGCATCTCGGGTACTCCTCTCTTTTGGCTCATGTCATACTTGTCCAACAGGGAGTAGTTTGTCGTGTCCTCTCGGTGGTTCCTCGGGACTCAATTTGGGGCCTTTGTTGTTAAGGCTGTAGATGCTACCGCTTGGCTAAAATTTTCTTCGACATAGCTTAAATTAAACCTTCATGCTAATGACTCACATATTTATCTTGAGACGATGATGAATAGCAAAGTAGCAGCTTCCGTACTATCATGTTGTCTTGCTGAAGTCAAATCGTGGGTGCACCTAAACTTGTGATGTGGCAGATTATGTTGTTGGGTTCCCCAGATCAAGTGTGTACATTTGATGGCTTTAGTGTGGCCATAGACGGGACTGTAATTCGGTCTTCCTCTGAGGTCAGAAACCTGGGTGTTATATTCTTAGGTTTTTTCGGTAAAGTCACGTAGGTAAAAACATTAAAAAGTAAAATAAAATAAAAATCACGACGTTTCGGAGGCAACACAAGCTTCCGTCTTCAGGTGGTACCGTCACAGCCACGACAGCTGCATCAAGTAAATGAGAGATTGCAGGAGCTACCAGCCATTATATAAACGCAGTGGTAGCTCCTGCAATCTCTCATTTACTTGATGCAGCTGTCGTGGCTGTGACGGTACCACCTGAAGACGGAAGCTTGTGTTGCCTCCGAAACGTCGTGATTTTTATTTTATTTTACTTTTTAATGTTTTTACCTACGTGACTTTACCGAAAAAACCTAAGAATATGAATCATTGCAGTCACGAAAGCTTCAAACCTGGGTGTTATCTTAGACCCCAGTTTGACATTTGAGGCCCATGTACGCAATATAACCAAAATCAGTTTTTTTATGTAACATAGCTCGACTGAGACCTCATGCTGTCCCTTCCTGATGCTGGAAGATTGGTGCCTTGCCTTTATTTCATCAGGATTGAATTATTAAAATGCTTTCCTTGCTGGAATTTCTAAAAGTTTGTATAATAGATTACAATATATTCAAAACTCAGCTGCCCGGGTTTTCACCAGCTCTAAATCAGGTGACCATATGACTCCCTGCGCTAGCTCACTGTAAAGTACAAGGACTTTAAGATCCTTATTCTCACGTTAAAGGCCTCGAATGAGTTGGCTCCTAAATTCTTATCGATCTGCTTGCGTTTTATATTCCACTACTCAAAACCTAGAGCTCCTGATTCTGGTCTTCTCGTTATTCCAAAGACCAGTGTGTTCGATGGGAGAAAGAGCTTTGTGCAGTCAGACTCTGCCAATGTGGAATTCCCTTCCTCGGTCCATTAGGGAATCTGGGTCTGCTCTTGCCAAGGACAAGAGCAGACTGCAGCGTATCATCCGCACTGCTGAGAAGGTGATTGGCTGTAATCTACCAACCCTTGAGGACCTGCACACTTTGAGGACCCTGAGGAGAGCGAGGAAGATTGCGGACGATTCCTCGCACCCTGGATACTCTCTGTTCCAGATACTCCCCTCCGGCAGAAGGCTGCGGTCCATCAAGACCAAAACCTCACGTCATAAAAACAGTTTTTTCCCATCCGCTGTTGGCCTCCTCAACAAGGCCAAGGGCTTAAAATGACTTTTACACTTAAAATGACTGTTACACTTACTATAACATTTTATCTACATAATTACACCTTTCCATACTTACAACGTGTAATCTTATTTGTATTTTTGTATTTTAAGATTGTTTAATACGGCTAATTAACATTTTACATTCGCATTTTATAAGGTCTACTTATTCATAATTTTAAAGATGTTAGCACTTTAGTATTACTTATACTTTGTAACGTTAGTATAGTTAGAGTGTATACCTTTTATATAAGTTAAGATTCCTACTTGTTCAATGTATGCACCGTCCCGCCATAGTGAATTCCTTGTTTGTGCAAACTTACATGGCGATTAAAACCGTTTCTGATTCTGATTCTGATTTTTAATTGTGTATTACAATTAACCTGTTTTTACAACAGGCTTTCTCCGTAACTTATGCTTCATGCAAAGCGTTTCGAGGCCTTGTGAGAATTTAACTTTAGAAAAACGAATTTATTATTATCAAAATGTGGATACTCCCACCGCTTACAAAACGTCTGGCCAATGTGGACGAGTAGGCCAAATACCCTCAATAGCTCCCTTTAGTGGAGGCTCTTCCACCAGCAGTGGTGTGAGCAGGAAATTGAAGGACTGCGCCTTTACATTTAAATGTTGGTGTGCCTTTCACAAGTAATGTAAAACAAATGTTTATATGCAGTTGATAACAAATAAAAATAACGAAGTGGAAAATGTCGTTAATACTACAAGCTGAAATAGGCCACCACCTATTCCAATTCCTGTGGAAATGTAAGATAAAAATGGTAAAAAAAATGCATTGCCTCACATTCTCTGATTGGTATGGGAATGAGTGAGTCATTGCAAGAGCTCAGCGAGTGGTCGGAGTGAGTTATCTTGAGGTTCAGTCGCAGATTTAAGGTTAACACCTCAGTCTGAGCAAAACGACAGCCACTTTTTACGCAGCAATGTCAATTTTTACTTTTTAAAATGTTATTCACTAATTGATTTTCACAAAAGTAATACTATAATTGTATCTTAAGTCTTGTTTTTGAAATATCTCTTTCTGCAATGCAATCATCTGCTTACATCTCGTGCATGATTTAATGAGGTATTTGGCCTCGAGTTATGAAGGCAGAAGTTATGTAAATCTCAGTAACATTAGAACAAAAACTTTTGAGCTCCTTGGCTCATGTAATAGCAATGTACGGGTATGAAACTTGGACTTTTAATAGAGAAAAATAAAGGCAAATCACCGCCTTTGAAGTGACACTCATCCAGATCACCTTTAACCTTTCCTCATAAAAAGAGCATGTGACACACATGGGAGCCCTGGAAAGAAGGACAGAGACAACGAATCAAGGCTACCAAGCCATGTTAAAGACACGAAGCTGCAATGTTTCTAACAAGTGACAAGCAATGATTGAGACCTGCTGCAAAGCATGGTTGAGGGTTTCGGTGATTGGTCATGTTAGGTAATACTGGTACAGGTGTTTGCGAGAACAATACTTATTTACTGATAGAATAACAATTATTTTCAGTTTAGCCTGGTGTCCCGGGAGTAGGGCATAATGTTCCGTCGTCACAGTGAGTGTTATGCTATGATGTTACTGTGGCACTTTTGCAGGTGAAAACGAGATTATGGAAAGGGGCAATGCCAACTTAAATGTTTTTACAAACAGCTTCGGGTGCAAGACATTCGATCTGGCCACTACGTCTTCGTCCATTTGTATTCTCAATTATTTGGGCACCTTATTATAGCCCTGAATGTAGATCAGCTGTTCCATAATATGAGTGTGAACCAACAAACCATTGTAATGCCAACTGTCTCAGCACTAAACAAGCTTTGCATAAAATATAGTACCGTATTACATGTCGTAAATAATACCACCACTAACAACGTTATTGATAGTGTCTCTTTATCGGTTGTAAATAAACGAGGACACAGCTTCTCAAGTTCTATTATTCAGTTTTAACAAAAAGAAATGAACACAAGGCTCTGTTAATGTTTTTTATTATTATTATTGGAAAATCAATCAGGCATCTGCATTAGCTTCTGCAACGCGCCCTCGAGGTGCTTGCCAGCTTACGCACGGCCACAGGTAGAGGTGTGAAGATGCATAGATTAGTTCCCATGCTCATGACATGCGCCTCGAATCACGCATGCAACAATCAATTATGTTTTAATTGTAAACCTTGTACATAATGAGTTCACTTAACCCCTGCTGCCACGAAAAAAAAATCAATCCTTGATTCGAATCACGACCCCCAAACCGTGACAATTCATCAAAGTGCGAAAGGGGGGAGGATCACTACGTGCGTCCTGTCTCGTGCTCTGCAGCATGTTCAAGTCAAGGTGAAATTATTTACTCCTTACATATCTGGCTGTTGTTCACTTTAACATGCTTGCGCATTTCTGTGAAAATACAACATTCGCTCTGAATCTCTATCAACTTCATTCACCGATCAATAATAAGCTTTACCTCTAGGTGAGCAATTGACTAATGATTGACTGATGGGGACGACGGCTCAGATGTTTTTTAATCTCCAATAAAAAAAACTTTCTTTCCACTGTGAGATACGGTCTGCACACATTTGTGAATTGCTTTTCAATTATTGCCTTATTTGTGGAAACGAATTGACGACGATGCCTCACTTTCCTTCCCCCGCACCTCCGATTAGCACGGTTGGCTAAGAAGTTCAGCATAGATACGAAAGCACACGTATGGTAGGCTGCTTAGCATGATGTCCAGCAGTCACAACAACTATCACCTCGGTTTTGTATTCATTTGACAATCAAGAGGCAATGAGTTGCCACGCGATGCCCTTGGCACTGTATCCTTCCCACGGTGCTCCCACCTGTTCCCTGGTAGAACTTGGTGCAGTTCCCGTACTCGATGTTGTCAGTGCCGACATCGAACTGGGGGAGGGCAACCTCGTCCATCTGCACGGGGTCTCCCGGCTCCCAGATGAACCGCAGGTCGTCCGTGGTGTAGCCAACTGCAACGGGAGATCGCGTTGTTCACTCAGAAGTGTCTCTAATGCTCTCATTAATCAATCTACCTATGAGTTCAGTGACCTGTTTAATTGGTGTGTACTACTCTACTATGATGTACGGGTCAGAAATATGGGCAATTTATTAAGAAAATGGAATAGCCCTTAAAACAGTGCGCTGAACAGCACGGTGAGACGCACGCATGGAATCACACCGAGAGGTGTAGTGAGGAACACATGGATTGGAGAAAGAGGCGCAGGTTAACGACCTTCTTCAAACCGTTAACACAGTAAGTGGGCTTGCACAGGGCACCTCGCTGGAACAAGATGATGGACGATGGTTAATAATAACAATAGAGCCAGGGGATGCAACGCATCGGTGAGGACACGGAGCCAACTCATTGCTCCTGTTCACATCCAGGCTCAAGGCCTTCCTCACCACCTCCACCTACTGACTGACCGCCTCTTTTGGCTTATAAAATAATAAATGATGCATTCCTCATTTCCCCAGGGTTGTCCAATTGCTCGCGTCCCACTGCTTTGTACAGCATTTTCAGATGCGGATGCATGTATACGCTATATAAATGCAAATTGCATTGTGTGCGCTCGCAAAATGGCGATGTTGAGATAGTGTCCTGGCGGAGTGTGGTGAAATTGAAAGGAGGGAATGGGGGAAGAGCTGGCCGAAATTTCCAACACAACGTGTCGAACAATAACAATAATGATAATAACAACAACAACACAGGACATGATTGTGATGGATGAAGAGGGCAGGAAACTTACAGCTCTCAAGCTGCATCTTGCAGCGCTGCGTGTCCATTGGAAAGAGGGTGAGGTCCAGAGGACAGGACAGGGTCAGAGACAATCTGTTATAAGAGAATAGGCAAAGCATAATGGCTTTTGATTAGAATCATATTCACCCACAGCCCTGAAAGATTTGTAGGCATCATGAGAAGGTATTCTTAATAATAAGCAGCTTCTTAAAGTACTGAAGGGTGACAAAGTAGGAGGTCCATGCCTGATCTGCTCAGCTGTACCCCTGTCTCTTCAACTGCTTGCTCAGGTTTAATTGTGTGCTATTACCTCCAGATTTGCTATGAGTCACGTAATTGTACAATATTACCGGCATGGTAAAGTACGCTCAGACAGTTCCCCGTGACTAACATGGCATGGAGAGACTTTCATTCAGTGGTGAATTGACAAAGGGCTGCGAAGTATGATTCACATCTATACTTTTAAACTGCAAATACTCGCATCAAATACTCTCAGCGTTTTTTTTCATCATCGCAGCAGCGGCTTTTGGCTGGCCATCGTACAAGGACGGTCACCGCTTCATGCTTCTGCAGCCGACTGGAATGCTCTTCCTTCCGATATCAGAAAAACACTGGAGCTATGCACTTTTACGTTTTTAAAACTCATTTCTTTAGACCTGCTTTTTGTGTTTAGTTTGTTGTCCTTCCCCCGCACCTCCGATTAGCATAACTGGCTACGTATGGTGCGAAAAAAGTTCAACATACATACATACTTGTGCGTCTCATATCCTCTTCTGAAACATGCCTTACATGTTAAAAAAAACACAGCTTCAGACAATCTTCACATCCCAAAATTAAGCTCATGACATAGATTCCACATTGTGATATCGCTTGAGTGACACCCTAATCCGGAACGTGCATAGCGACGCAGGTTGACAATTTATCTTTCAAAAGGACACACTGAGGGCATCAATTTTCCCAGCAGGGCTTACTCTGACGATATGTGAGTAATATCCGCAATCTCTAGACTTCTCGCTTCGAATATTTCTCCTTGGAACTCTTGCACCACAGGAAAAAGTCTGATGGAATCAAGTATTTGATTGCACCATTTAAAATAACTATGCCACATCTTTTGGGGATTTTAGTAAAATTAAGCATTATGCTGGTTTTGACGTCTAGATACATTCCAATGAATTTGATGTAAAAGAAGAGAAAAATAGGGAATAATTTTGGTGATGTCAAAGTCACAGTAGCACCCGGCTAAAATGGGCACTTGAACAGCACGCACTTGTGGTTATTGCACACTCACGATCCTATGACACCGATGAGTGCTGGCGTGGGATAACAACAGTTGACTTCTGACCAAGCACTGAGAGACCGAGTTGGTCGCTGAGTTTAACTTAAAACTCTCAACTGTGAGTCGAATGTTGTAACCAGACAGCCCGTTACTTTTAAATGAGAGCATGTGGTGTGGGTACTTCCACTTCTTCCAAGACATCTGGCCAGGGAGGAAGAATAGCCCAGAATTGCCCCTAAAGTGGTGCTCTAGAGTATCCTTCAGCCAGTTGTGGCATGAGCAAACAATTAAGGCTGTGTGAAACAAATCGAGGCCCAGGACTGGTTCAGAAATCACTTGCATCTGATGTCAGCCAAGGCTGGAAATCAAGCACAGGTTTTTAGTGAAAATCAAGCCAGGTTTGTAGTGTATTGTGAGAACCACTGTGCCAATACCCCCCCCCCCCCCCCCCCCACCAAATGCACGTAAAAATTGTACAGGTATTCTTGAATCATTGTTTAAGCGTTCATATTATGTGTTTAGTAATGACAGTGAATGATGCATAACCAATGTAATGGTGAAGACTGTCTATGCAAGAGTTTAGTAATTCTGCATTGAGCAATAATGTAGACACCTTATATAAATCAGTGCATCAATCCTTAGAAGTAGTTTGGATATAATGTATTAACTAGATGCGTTTAGAAGAAAGAAAAACAATGAACAGACCGTCGACTTTGCACAAACACTTAAGCAGAACAGTTACTCAAAATGTGAGGAAAATGTGAAGTGACTGCATGTCATCACGATGAAGCCATACATGGCTTAAATTGGCATTATTCTACTGAATACAAATTTCAATAAAAAACAAATTGCCCCAATAATTTTTTAAGATACGAATTAAATTATTGCTAGATTTTTGAAGTAGCGCATTTGACAGGACATCACAGTACTGATGCTGTAGAATGGATATAAACAAACTCGCAAGATGAGCGGTTTACGTATAGACATCACAACGCCTATAAAGCTGTTGGCATTGGCTTCCCAACAGGACATTGAAATCTTACGCAGATTGAAATGCTTAAATAATCACCGCACCCCTGGTTTTGTTGGGACAGAGTCCCCATTTTCAGCAAATCTGTCCCAGTGTCTGGAAGTATTTGCAAAAAATTGTATTCTTGTCCCGGTTAAACATTTTCTGGCTTCATGCACAACTGATTATATTTGCTAAAACATTTTTTTACCAGGTACTGAAATATATAGATCATTTTCAGAAGTGACTTCACAAATAATAGCTAAACGGAGTAGCTTATGATGTGGAAATAGATAGCAGCCAAATACTCTAAACGGATATTTCTAAATGCGGAGGAAAAAAGCGGAGGACCTGAATAAATTCCACGTGACCACAGGGAGAACATTCAAACTCCAAATATACAGGCGTCAGGGTCGGGATCGAACTTATGACCTCTTGCAATCCAGGAGAGGGAGTTAACATCTCACCACAGTGGCACCCTCGTGGAATGGGCACTGGCAGCGCTACCTGACAGTGAATGAGGCTACCGGACAGTGGGTGGGACTACATGACAGTGGGTGGAGCTACCGGACAGTGGGTGGGGCTACATGACAGTGCGTGGGGCTACCTGGCAGTAGGTGGAGCTACCTGAGCATTGGGTAGGGCTACCTGGCAGTGGGTGGAGCTACCTGAGCATTGGGTAGGGCTACATGACAGTGGGTGGGGCTACCTGACAGTGGGTGGGGCTACCTGACAGTGGGTGGGGCTACCTGAGCATTGGGTAGGGCTACCTGGCAGTGGGTGGAGCTACCTGAGCATTGGGTAGGGCTACATGACAGTGGGTGGGGCTACCTGACTGTGGGTTGGGCTCCTGTGTGGGAGGGACTAGTAATTGAGTGGGCGTGGTTATGTAAAAGTTTCAGTTTGAGCATTCCAAAAATTTGGAAACCTTACGTTTAAATATGCTTTACATATGCATTTATGTTATTATAGAAGATGCAATTAATTAAATAGTAACAATGTAGCAGCTCATTCACAATGTGTTGAATTTACATTAGCGCAATCCAACAATTGTTCTGATCGTGGATCATTTTCAAGGTTGCAAACAGACCAAATATGCAGCAGCATAGCGCGAAGTTAGTAACACGGTGATATTTGTAAAAAAAAAGAACTCCAATTAATTTCCACTTCACTCATGTTTACAGTCTTTATGTGAAGCACGAATGTCTCATTCAAGTCACAACAGATTCAATATCGTAGCAACAGTGAACCTTGCGAGCAGTCTTTTTTCGACAAACGAACACAGAAAGCTTGAAAGTTAGCCTACCATAATGCGATTGTTTTGCCTTATGCCCACAGTTTGCTTGTATGGTCAATGCTTTCCACTTGCTGAGCACAACATTTTATCACAAGTTCTTCGAAATGCACATATCATCAAGGCCTTTAATACAATCAGTAAATCCTATTTTCATAGACAGGTTTTAGATGAAGTGTTAAGCACGGCTCAATACTATACCTTTAATCATTGTTTTCATGTTGTCAGTTTAATTACATTCATTTGTCTGCATTACTGCATTCAATCCAACACTCAAAACATTTAAACACTGTTATTTGCATTTGTGTTGACACACTGTGACGAGATCTCTCAAAGATGAAACATACTAATGGTATGCATGAATTTTGGCAGTGGAGCAGTGGTCCGGTGGTTAACACACTGCACTATGAACCCGATCACCTGGGTTTGACTCCCAGCCGTGGCGAACATCTGTGGTGAGTGATATCTAAACTAGTTCTGAGCTCCTCTGAACCCCACTCATCACCAATGTCACTTATCAGTCAAGTGAAGTATGGTCAAGCAACCCCTACAAGAGACGTGGCATGGTGAGGCCTTCATCCAGCAGTGGATTGACATAGGGCTGTAAGGTAAAATATTTGTTGCTAAGAGTGCAGTTCTATCATTGACATTGTTGCCATTAATGTGCTAATTGACTCTTGTTAAAGCATGGCCATCACACAGCATAGGGTGTGCTGAGCAATTCTATAGACTTCAAATCTTGTGTGTGAAGAAAAAATATGCGTTTTCTCCAGATATCACCGTTTCCTGATACACAAAATAAATGCATACAGGACCTAAACACACATAAGGAATTGTCTAAAAGTCTCAAAATTGGGACCAGAACAGACTGCTGAGTCTCAGAATGTCTTAGATTAACAAAGACAGTATAGGAATGGTTAATTATATCAAATACATATATTTACTCTTTTATTTGTTATCCAATACATATGTCACTGTGTAGTGCCAGCCCTAGAGAGGCACGGCGTGCAGTGTAGCGACATCGCGGACACCACGTGGTGTGGGTATGGTACCGGCCCTAGATGGACTCTGTGAGCGCTGATTGATAGCGCTGGATGGCATCACGCTTGGTGTGCAGTGCCGGCCTTACAGGATAGGGTGTAGGAGTGCCGGTCGTAGAAATGGGGTTACTAAAGGCCATGGCACTCTGGTTGATCTGAGAGGACATGTGACTAGTTAAGTCTACAAAGGGACCCCAAGTGGGGGCTAGGGGTGGTCACATTGGCGGGGTCCAGATCCTGCTCGAGGATTCTGGAAGGTGGTCGTGGCCAAGGGCGGAGCCAGCCACGCCGCAGAGAATATAAGCCGCGTAGTACAGAGTTAGACTGATGGCCTTAATCTAAACAGTCTTGTGGTTGTTGTTGTTTGACTTGCATCCCACTGAGATTTTTGCACACAGCGTTGGTGTACGGTGTTTTTTCTGCAATATTTTTGCTGTCTTTTCTTGAATTTTCTGTTTGCACTTAGTCACATAT